CCCCAAAACCCCAAAACCCCAAAACCCCAAAACCCCAAAACCCCAAAACCCCATTAGGGAGTAGCCAAGTTGTAATTAATATTTACTAATGGGCCAGTGCTGCCATTCAGAACCAAAAAGTAGCTTTTAAGACTCTGACCTCTTTTAGGAGCAGGAAATGAGATTGGAGATAAGGTCACAGGGCAAGCCTTGTTTGACCAGATTTTGCTTTTAGAAGAGGATACAGAACTTCCAGGATTCAAGTAAGACTAAAAGATTCATTATTAGAGAGCTTGTTGGGGGTTGTAAAGAGGAGCTAGGAGAGGATGATGGGCTATTGTTTCATGATCCCAGACATAAATCGGAGTTTGATTTAGTGTGTCAAGGGTCACCCTCTGTTTCTCAAAAGAAGGTTCCTTTGATAAGGAAATCAAGCATGTATTACAAAAAGATGAGAACTCCTAAATGAAGCAAGAAGACTGGCTCGATGAAGCCTTTAGATTTTTCTAAAATAATCATGCCTCAGAGTCCCCTACCATCAACTCTGTAGTCTTTCTCACAATCGTGCAAGAGAATACATTGAAGAAAAGTATCAAATTTTTCTCTTGAGTCTCCAATGCAGAAATCTGGCTACAAAAACTGAGACAGTCTTGGCCAGGTTAATGATCCATCTTCAAGACCAAAAGTGTCCAAAAACTCGGATATCAAGCTAGACCTGCTCCTTACAGAATGTCTTGAGGAGGAGAGTGTCTCTTCCTTCCAAAGCGTCAGTGAGGACTAGCCATATCTTATCTTAATTTTTACTCAGAAATTCATAAAATTCTTGACTTTGTAGCTTTACTTCTGGTTTTCCTGGACTGAATATATTTTCTTTTTTGTGGCGAAATGCAACTAGGCAAAATCTCGATACGTAGAGTTTTTGATGAACCTAGACCTTGTAGAATTGCTACCATATCATTTACACTTGAGATTTGAGAGACTGAAATTATGACTTTGTAAACCTTGTATAAATTGTTTTCGAATTTGTTATTTTTGTCCTGAACAACTTCAAATAAACTTGGGTGGTCGATCAAGGAATCAATAGATATAATAAATTACTGGGTTATCCTATGCTTACAACCCTCATAAAATGTAAAATTTCCTTTCTAATCCTATGGCTGGCAAAATTCTCAAAAACGGCTACTAAAGAAAAGATTCATATGTATCTTAGCCTATCTAGCTTTTACATAACTTGAGTATACAAAACGCTCATGCATCTTTTTATTTTAGCAAGAAATATACTCACAAGGAATGCCAAGGTCTTAGAATAAATATTGCCACCTTTCAGGATATTTTTAAACAGGATGTAAAGATTCCTGATTCCTTAACTGTATGCTAGGTACTCTGAAACTTCATTAAAATTTGCAGCCTGAGCAAAACTATGATCCTAGATTCATAAAATATTAACTTGAGAAACATCTTAATAATAATAAAATCTTCATTTTCAATCTTTCTGAGGTAATTCGGGGTTTTGGGGTTTTGGGGTTTTGGGGTTTTGGGG